TTTTTTTTTTTTTTTTTTTTTGGTACTGGGGATTGAACTCAGGTCCTTGCGTTTGCAAGGCAGGCAGCAGAACCACTGAGCTAAATCCCCGGCCTTCTTTTTAGAATTTTTACTAACGAATGTATATCAGAAATACATTTCAAGCTGTAAAACACATGCTGATGTTTGTTATTTCAAATAGTAACAGAGGGCTTTGGTTTCTCTTTGGTTACCTCTTCCAACCATAGGCACTCTGGTTTCCATTATTGGAGGCCATGATGGCCCCTCAGAAGCTGTCTGGGGCAGCTGCACCTCACATGCACTCTGAAGGTAAGTTCCCTGGAACCGCAGTGACTCAGCCACAATTTTTGTCTGCAAAAGATAGCATTCTTATATTTTTCCCAGTAGCATATTATTTTCTGTAATGAAACCATATTGTATATTGATCACATCTTTCTGGCTTAATTCTATTTGTTATTATCACATATGTAATTTATCTTGAATAATACTATTTTTGCAACTTAAGAACAATTCATTTTAAAATATCAAACTGACTTTGGTTACCTAAGTTTCTAAGATATGTAAGTCCACTATTTTCTCCATTTACAGGAAAAGCTAAAAACCTTTATTTTAAACTAATCTTCGTATTAACATTTCTTTGCAACAGCTCTGAAATCTTTGACTATGCAAGTTCTAAACAGCATGGCGGCATTTATTGCTCTACCATCAATCTTGCAAAGAATCTTACAGGTGAGCTAAAGGAGTAAGGAGACTACATGTTGATAGTTTACCAGTAATTGGGTTGATGGTTAAATGGATCTCAAACATAATGCAGCTAATTTGGGGTATTAGTTAAATTTCTAACTTATGACCTTCATCCTTGAATGTTTTTTCTTGGCATGAATTTGCCTGACATAAGCTTCTGACATTAAGTTAGGGTAGGTAGCGTTCAGTGGTCATTGATTCCTTGAGATACGCAAGATACACAAGCTTCCTATTATTGTATCTTTTGGGAGAGAATTATCATTCATTCTAGCTGATAACACTTTTTAGAGCAAAAGGAAATAATCTAAAAATGATTGTAGGCATTTTATAGTTATTGGTTGTTATTCAGGTTTTCTAAATCATTCTAAAACTGTTTTTATCTTCAGGACTCATCTCCACCTCTAAATTCCTGGTGGCTTTTTGTCCAGAGTCTTGGTGGGACACATCACCTTTGACTGTTTTCTTTAGACAAAAGGCCTGAGCCTCCCTCAACTTCATCAAAAAAAGAATGCTAAAAATAGACTAAGATATATTTTTAGAAAAACCTGGGAGTGTTCTTGAGGAAACAGCAGGAATTGTACTTAGAATCCATTTTGTCTTCCCTTACTGTATGCATTATGCAGACATTTTTTAAAAATCAAACAGTAATATGCCACTGATTATTATAATTTTCAAATGATTTTATCCAGTCAAAATGTCCTTATCAGATCTCATTTAAGACTCTTCAAGTGCTACTTCCTCTGTGGTGTAAAATTCCTGGGCCTTACTGATAAAAAGCACTGTACCCAGTAGTCTCTGTCATCACACTGTCACTAAGAATGTGTTTACACACAACTACCACATTTGACTCTTGGCAGCGATGGTGTTGAATAATTCTCCATGTAGACTACTCCTCATATCCATTTTAAAATACATTAATTATAAAAGTTTTAATCAGATATAAAGTAATATCTCCATAAAGCAGAAATACTTGACCAGGTAAATTAGAAGAAATGAAATTCTAAAAGCAGAAATGGAGTCAGGTGTGGTGGCACATACTGTTATCTCTGCACTTGGGAAGCTGAGGCAGGAGGATCACCAACCTGTGCTACATGAGTGCAATGACAGTATGAACTACATAGAGAGACCCTGTCTCAAAAAAACAAAACAAATAAATAAAAGCTAAAGTGGGTTCTCTTTCATTACATACATTTTGCTTAATCACACATTATAATACATTAGTATTTTTCCCTTGGAAAAAGCATATGAATTTTCTACACTTGATCTTAGCCAAAAGGCTGAGAAGTGATAGCATATGAATTTTCTAAATTTTAGTATTTCAAATTTAACATCTGTGAAGCAATTTGATAATTGAAAATCTCCACTTTCCTTGAGTTACAGCAGCACTCATTATAACTGTTTTGTCATCAGTTTCCACTTTCGGGGGTTATTAATTCTTTAGTAATCCAGAGAGAATGCTTTTTGTCTTACTTCATATTTGTACAGACACTTTAATTTTTCCAAGATATTTTCACAATAATCTCTTGAGGTAGGTAGGACTACTGTACAAGTTTCTGTTGGGAAAGGAGGAACCTAAAGGACGGATAAATTAAAAGCCCAGCCCACTGTTAGTGCAGAACCTGGACAGCCACCAGCTTCCCATTTCCTAATTCATGTTCTCTTCTGTTACATCATTTAAGCTTTTCTCATTTGGTTCAACCTCTGTATTTTTAAGGAGTTAGTCACCAAGTTTTTAATTATATTTTAGTCTTTTTATTCATTACCTACTCATATGTAAATGAAAAGGACAGTTCTTGTCTCACAAGAGCTCCTGTAAGAAAGACAGAAAAGCCAGGTATGACAGTAGGCTTACAATCCCAGCCACTTGGGAGGCTGAGGCAGGGGGATTGCCAGTTTGAGGCTAGCCTAAACTCCTTAGCAAGGCCCTGTCTGAAGATAAAATCTAAGAGAGAGAGGGAAAGGGGAGAAAAGGATAGGGAGGGGTGTACATGAGTGTGTGCTGGGATGTAGCTGAGTGGTAGAATGCTTACCTAGCATACATTAGGTCTTGGATCCAGTTCCCACTCAGAGAAAGGGGGCCAGGAGAGGGAGAGAGAAAGGAATGTCCTGATGCATCGATTCATAGAGGCCACTTTTAAGGATTATCTGCTCCAACCTCCATGGATAGCTGCCATGTCACCATCCCTACGTGCAGTCCACATGACACCAAGAGGGGCCATGTGAAAGTGTGACCCTGCCTGCTCATTCCAACTGGTTCCCTGAGGGTGTGCACCTGGTATCAGTGTGGCAAGTGTTCTGGGAAATTTCGGAACTAAACTGAAAAGGTGTGTAAGTCTCTGCAGGCCTCTGCATGATAATAAGGTGCAAATTTTAGTACATGGACTGGTTTTTCGTCATATGAGCTGGAGTAGTGGGGGAGAAAAGGTAAGAGAGAAAGGTGAAGAGAGCAGAAACAAATGTATGAACAAGGTGTATGGAGAGGATTCAGGACACATGAGCCAGGAGAGGGGACAGCATATGGAGAAAATCCTGATGATACGAGTTCCTGCTCCAGTTTTTAAGGCTTACCTGCGTTTCTTTGCTTGACTCCTTGAAACGTGCTAGTACCTGTACAAAAATTATCTTTTTTTAATAAGTTAGATTGAGTTGGATTTTTGAATATATATATATGTGTATATATATACACATATACATATATACACACATACATATATATGGAAAGATTTCCTGAGGGAAGAGATGTCTGAGCTGAATCTTGAAGAGCCTAAAGGAATCAGGAAAAGAAAGGAGATAGGATTATTCTAAGCACAGAAAACCATATATGTACTTTGAAGTGAAAACATGGTACAGGTGAGGAGCTGCATCTGTTTAAGCCTGGAACATGAAACAAGAGTAAAGGGGAATCACAAATGAAATTTCAGAGATAGGCAGAGACTGTGTCCTTAACTGCTTTGTAAACCATAGTAAAGACTTTGAATTTTATTCTAAAATTAATAAGTTATCATCAAGATTTTGAGCAAAGAAATGATGTATTTAGGCTTCTTTTTAGAAAGATCACTTAGTGTGCATTATAGAGGAAACTGGAAGGAATCAAGACTAAAGGCCACATAATAGGTAATAGGAAGGTAATAGGTACTCAGAGTTTGTTACTTGGGTTACAAAGAATGGAGAAGAGAAAATGGATTTTGAAATGACTTGGATGGAAGAGTCCACCGGACTTTGACTATCGTAGGGGCATATACAACAATGCAGGGGACACAGCCTAGTTGTCTCCCAACTTCAGGTTCATGTGGCTGACAGAAAGCAGAGGAGATATAACACTGGAATTTTGAGGAGCAAGACACAAGTAGAGATCTATACTTAAAAGTCATCAGCATCAACATGCTAGTCAAATTCTTGAAATGAAATCAACTTTATGAGGAACTGCAAGGAAAACAGAAGGCCAGAGATGGAGTTCTAGGAAATACTTGAGTCTGATCTGTTTACCTATTTTTACTTCTTATTAGGATATACATTCCTTGAGAGATAAAGACTACCCTTTGCCCATACTACTTTATCACATCATCTAGCTCACAGGCACCGGGCGTATAAGTCCTCATAAATCTTTCTAGAATGAATAAATACCAAAAAATGGAATAACTTCCCTTCTGGCCAAGATTGAATAAAAAAGGCTGAATTTACCCTCCTGCTTGAGACAGCCTAAAACTAGACAATATACTTGAAATAGTGGTTTTCAAAAATAAAAATAGTGGCTACTATACAATATAGCTGAGTAATTCCTGAGAAGCAGAAAATAAAGTGTGCCCTGTTGATAATCAGTGTGGCCAATTTTAAAAAGTTACAGATACACTCACCATGTGTTCTAGCCATTGAACTCCTAAATGTTTACTTAAGGCAGATAAAAGGATATATACACAAAGACTTTTCTACAGATATTCATAATATATTTACATGAAATAGCCAACAACTAGAAACAACCCAATTTTCCTCATCAGGTGAATTGGTAAGAAATTTATTGTGTACCCGCACTAGAATACTGCTTCAGCATAAAAAGAAATGAACTATTGACATACTGTGTGTCTCAGCTTGGGATGCTGAAACAGAATACTATAGACTGCATGATTTACACAACTAACATTTATTTCTCATGGTTCTGAAGACTGGTAGTCTGAGATCAGTATGCCAAGACAGCCAGGTTTTGGTGAGGGTGGTCTTCCTGGTTCAAGAATCTCCTAGTGAAGGAGAGAGAGGAGAGAAAGAGAATCAAAGAGGAAGCATACTCTTATGTCTTCTTACAAGGTCACTAATCCCACCATGAGGGTTCTACCTTCATGAACTAATTAACTCCCAAAGGTGCCCTCTCTGAGTGCCATCATATTGGGGTTAAGGCTTTGGCATATGATTTGGGGCAAGGCAGGAAGAGGGACAGAACAAATGAACATTCCATTCATAGCACCTTACAGCATCAATAATCCCAGAGTTACTAAGCTGAGTGAAAGAAGCCCAAGAGAAGATATATATATATGCTGTGGTTCAGTCTGTATAAAATTATAGGAAATGCAAAAAGTAAGCTATAATAATTAAAACAGAATGGGAGGTGGTCTGGGGGGAGGACAGATTCAAAGTGGGAATGAGGAGAGATTACTACAAGACTTGACATTTTGGACATTCATAGATACATTCATTATCTTGACAGTGGCGCTAGTTTCATGAGTAGATGTGTGTATGTCAGTGCTTAGAAATGATGTGTCAGACCTTTTAAAAGTCAACTGTAGAGTTATAGTTAAACCTATAGCTCTCTAAGCCCTCCCTCAGAAAGAAAATACAAGTATTAAATGATACATACTTAGAAGGGACACATCAACATAGAGCTTTTAAAGTTTTTCGAAAGACAGAGAAGCAGCAGCTGAGTTAGCAAGGCTGGAAGCTCTGGCCTAAGCTGTGTCATTGGTTATGTTAGTGAGAAGCTACCTGATTTTAGATTC